TTATAATAATAGTAATAAGCTTTTGTTTAAAATTCTAGACACTTATTTTAACCGTATGTTATTATCATATTAATATGGTTATATTATCGTACTATATAGTAACATTATAGGACCTCGGATAATTGAGGCAAGACATCATATAAAAGTGCCTAGAATATCTTACTAAAAATAGTAATATCGTTTCCTTTTTGGTCCCAAAATTCATTATAATTATCCGAAGTCCTATATTATTATTTTATAGTTTCAAAATATTATTATCCGTTGTATCGAATAAGTTTGTATATATTAAATATATATAACATGTTCCTAAATCGAGTTTCACTGTGTAACAAAGTATTTATAAAAAGATTGTCACGCATAGTACCAACTCCCTCCCTTTCTTCCTTATATATTACGATTCATTACATAATAGCATTTACTGTCTTAAACAATAGTGCAGAAAGTAAAGAGCGACCTAATAAAAAACATGTCATTGTAGCAGTATAAATAAAATGACATTATATCTATTGCATAATAAATATTTAATTGGATTCTTAGCCCCGGCACCATTCTACCTATTACATAGAAAATTTCCAAAAGTCAGATTCGATTTGGTGAACGTACCATTGATTTGTAGCGGACTACACCTATTACCTGGGTATTATACAAATTTTATTATAATGGGGTTCATAACAAGTTTCCTTAGTCAGTATTATGCCTACAGATATAAAAACAAGTAAACTATTTTTTTCTTTTTTTTTTAGTAAACTTTTTTAATATTTTTTGGTGCATAATTTAAAAAAAAATTTTTTTTTTAGATGGTGGACAAAGTAAGTAATTGTAAATCATTGTGTTAATTATTTCTTTGCATTAATTATTTTAAAATAAAATTTTTCTCTAGATACAACTACGTGATGTCGGCTTCATTCGATAGTGCTGCACAAATTGTGACAATGGTTATATTTTTTTGTTTGAATGGTGTTATTAAAGTACCATTTCCTGAATGGTGGGGTAATGATCAAGGTTCACAAGGTGAAAGGTGTTTTGGTGAAGATGATTATAACTAATTAATTAATTAATAAATTTTATTAATAAAAATAATTTGTGCACATGCTTGCTTATTAAGGGTAGAGTGTAGTCATGTGTTTTTTTTATATGATCAGCAAGAATAAAATAATTCCAGAACCTCTTTTTTAAGTCACTCGCTAAACATAGTAGTAATAGCTGCACCAAAAACTAGTTTTCGCGAGATGAAAATTAACACAAAATCCATTTTCAGCATGTATCCAATCATATATAGCAATAAAAAAAATTTTTATTGTTGGAGGGTTATTTCAAAAAAAATTGTAAAGTCAAAAGTAGTTTTTCCATCTCTTATAAAAATTTTCCCATCACTTATAAAATATATAAAATATATAAAAATAAATAGAAACAATAATTTTCAAGAAATGTAAGTGGTAAAAGTTGTGTTGAACTATGGTTGAAGGAAATCAATAACAAGATAATAAGCAAGATAATAATATGTTTCCATCGTATACTATTTGTTTTACCTATTTATTCTTTGTGGAAGTTATATCAAAAATGAGGGTATTTTATGAAGATAATCAATCAATTCGTTATCAGCATAGTGGAATTTCTCTTTATCACATTTGTCACATAGTGACGATCTTGGAATTATATTGTGTAACTTCTTAATTTTAAAATGAATTCATATATGTAAAGTCACGTTTTCAATTGACACAAAAAATT